GGTGTTATAAAGGGTTTTTTTAAAAAGAAATAGAGTATAAATAGAATTTAAGTTTTACAAGATAAAATTTTGCAAAATTAAAGGGAGCAAAATAATAAAAAAAAGTAGAAAAAAAAAATATATGAGGTAGTTGGACTTGTTAAAACAAAAGATTTTTAAGGCCTTTTAACAATAATATAATTGAAATATCCCCTAATTGCACACACAATATAGTACTAAGAAATGAAAAAAAATCTTAGAATAGGGGTTATAAATAAAATTAAAAAATTTAAAAAAAACAAATTGAAATTTGGGACTTGCAATTTTCACTAGGGTCTGGGATGGGTTTTTTGACAAGATCAAGATAAACTAGATTTAAAAATTTACCAAAAAAAAAATTCACCCAAAATTTTAAAATACCAAAAAAATAATAAGTAAAAAAAAACACTGGCAATGTCTTGGTTATAACATTAGAAAAATGGTAGACAGGGGACACAGGTACAAAGGATAATATAAAGGTTTGGGGTTGAATATACCAAAATTTGGGAAAATTTGGGAAAAAATGTTATGGGGAAAAAAAAATAATATTAAATTTCAAAAGTTAAAAATTTAAATTTTGGGAGTAAATGTGGGTTTAATAAAATTTTAGTAAGTAATAATTTATTTTTTTCAAAATAAAAAGGGAAAAAAAATGTTTATTTCTTTTAAAAATTTCATGGTAGTTATACTTGAGGGGTTTTTGGGAGTACAAGTTTTAATTTTAAAAGGGGACTCTAAGTAAATGTGGTAAATTTAAAAATGGTTAAGGTTTAAATTTGACAAGTAATGGTTTTTTAAATGTCAAAAATGTTAAAAGTAAATTTTAATTTATAGTGGAAAAAGGTAATTATTAAATTTTTGTAAAATAATAACAATTGAAAAGTATTTAAAAAATAGGTAGTAATATGGACAGAGAAAGTATCGATTCAGCTAATATTTAAGCAAACAATAGTAAATAAGAAAATTAGATAAGGTGACTTATGCTTACTAGTTATTATTATTACAATCAAGGGGGAAGCGCTAAACCCGGAGGATTATACAGCGCCTGGGGGGGGGGGATGTGGAAGGCATTCAGGCTTAATTTGGGGAACTGGAGCACAGATCCAATTCCCTAAATCAAGAGCCCCTCACCAACATCAAGGAACCTTCCTTGAGGGGAGCATGCTTACTAGTAAAATCACAAAATGAGGTAGTTGATTATTTAATTAGCATGTTGATATTAAGGCTAAGTAACTGCATTACAGTTCGTAAATTTAGCAATGTGAATGGGTTTTGTCTTGTTTATATTGAAGCTCCTATATTGGAATATCACAGGCAAACTTATGACTAGTTTAAGATTCATTAGGTAAAAGTTTTATTGCGTATTTCTATGTTTATTGTCAATTGGGCGAGTGTAAGTGTGAATTGTGGGGAATCAGATATCGAGGGGAGGTCTAGGTTTTGTTGTGTGTTTTCATGTAGTTAGCTGACGGTGGGGTGTGTCGGGGAGATGTTTTCTAACGGTAGTTTTGAAAGTGATGACTGTGTCTGCAGGTAGGGTGTTCCAGATTTTAGGTTCTTTTATGTACATTGAATTTTTGTATAGGTTTAGCCGGACACGGGGAATGTCATAGAGATTTTTGTACCTGTGGGTCCTGTCACAACTATCAAGAAAGTGTTTTAGGTTAAGGTTAATATTGGAATTTAAGGTTCTGTAAATGTAGGTTGCATAGTAGTAAGTGTGATGTTCTATACAGTGACTAAGTTTAGATCTATGAAGAGTGGGGGGGGGATGCCTGGGATTGGATTGCATGATTATTCATACTGCAGCTTCTTGTTGGGTTATTATTGGGTTTAGGTGTGTTGCTGCAGTTGAACCCCAAACACAAATAGCATAGGTGAGGTAGGGATAGACGAGTGAATAGTATAGTGAGAAGGGCTGATTGTGGCACGTAGTAACTACCTTGGAGAGGATCCCAACAGTTTTGGATACTTTTTTTGTTGGATACGAGTGCTTCATTCATTCATTAGAGGTTCGCCGGTACTTACACGAGTGCTGAAATTAAGGTTGGCGTCGAGGTGCAGACCTAGGAATATTTTTTGCAATAAGAGTGTTGTCGATCTTAATGTTAAATTGTGCAACACCTGTTCTGTTACCAAACATAATATAGGTTTTGTCAGTGTTAAGTGTAAATTTACTGGCTGTCATCCAAATAGATATTTTTAGTAGCTTCCCATTAACAATGGTGTTGAGTGTGGCAAGTGATCGTGTTGATGAGGTCTTTAATGGTGACATACTGATGCCTATTAGCAAGGTAGGATTTGAAATATGCAAGTGCGTGGCCTCTTACACGATAATGGTAAAGTTTGTGGAGTAGGGTGCTGTGGTCTACTGTGTCAAAAGCCGTTCCTAGGTCAATAAAAAGTCCTAATGGATATTCCTTATTTTCCAGTGCTGTGTAAAGCAGATCTAGCATTTTTACAATTGCATCGTTTGTTTTTATTTTTTCCGAAGGCAAATTGGCAGGGGTTGAGTATGCTTTGAACTGTTATAAACGAATATAATCTCTTGTGCAAGAGTTTCTCGAAGATTTTGACTTGCTTATAGTTGTTTACATGTGGGGTCACCACCTTTGTGTATTGGTGTAACCCTTGCTGTCTTGAGTAGTGTCGGGAAAGTGCTAGTTTCGTTTGGTTCAGAATTATTATTGCATACACAAATTTTCGCTTGCCTTATTTGGCAAGAAGAGCATTGCTATTTTAAGCCAAAATTGTGCCGAATAAGTAAAACTTGCGATTTTGGCTTAAATAGCAACGCACTTCTTGCCAAATAAGGCAAGCTAAAATTTGTGCATGCAATAATTTCGCAAAAATCATTCTGAATCTAACTAAAATATATTTCGTTGTGTATGCTTATTGTAAACTTATATATTTAGCTGGATTAGGCTAAACTGAATTGCGCTTATAATAAGGTCAGGTAAGTTTTCTAAGGTTCTTTGGGTACAAAATCAATTTTTATTACCTGGAGAGAGTTCCGGGGGTTAACGCCCCCGCGGCCCGGTCTGTAACCAGGCCTTCTGGTGGATCAGAGCCTGATCAACCAGGCTGTTACTACTGGCTGCACGCAAACCAACGTACGAGCCACAGCCCGGCTGGTCAGGTACCGACTTTAGGTGAAAAAAAATGTATCTTTAAATACGTAAGAGAAAATTTTAGAAGACTTAATTTTAAATGAGATCTTGCTAATTGACCGATTATACCTATTCGACATGACTAACTAATATATATTGATGGGGGTGCAAATAGTGTATAAACAAATACAAAATGTCACAACGAACAGAATTCAAACCAGCACAGCTTGCCGAAAGACCATTGTTCCGAGGCACCTGTGTTGATAGGTCAAGTTATTTATGCTCTTGGAGACATCTTGCTAGTTTCGAGTGGTAATTTACACGTTGGCTATGAAGGTGGGGTTGTTATCCGTAGCCTGTCTTGTGATTATTCACGCTTTTATATTAGTCCAGGCAGGGTCGAAGATTAAATCGTCTCGGAAATTTTTGTAAGTTTAATCATAGCTGATATTAGCAAGCAATTGTACATGTGAACTCTGCTACTTGTGGGTCTTTAGCTTGTTAAGTTCATAGGTTATCACTGAAGCTTGGAATTCGTGGTGCAACCTGTAAAATTCTCTGTAGTTGGAGTCTTCGGTTGTAAAATTATTTAACAATAGATTGCAGCACCTTCCTTCCATGTGATTAGGCCTGCAGTAATCAATGGCTGTGTACCCAGATAAGAAAGATGCACTTTACTTCCAGACAGCTACCTAACCCAGAGTGCAGGCACAGTACTCCCCACCTCCAGGACTATCTGACGCTACCCTTATACTCCCCAAAAAAAAAAAAAATTTCCTCCACAACTAACGCAAGATTTGATGGCCAAGCCCTAGCGTTCAAAACCTCAGAACGCTCTCTACACCCCGCCCACCTTAATTATTATTATTATTATAATCAAAAAGAAGCGCTAAGCCAGCCGCCCACCTTAAGATTAAACATCCTAATCCAATTTTTCCAAACCACTCGTCCTCTGCATAATAATCACCACCCATCTCCACTGCCTCCTCGATGTAACATTTAACCATGCTTCATACCTAGTGTTCGTTATCTCGATCCTCCTTTGCGTCCATGGATGGTTAACCTCTTGCTGAACAATCCACCCCTTTCCCCTTTAATCTGAAATTCAATCTTATGACAAGACTCAGTCCAAAATTTTTTCGTAATACTTCATTCTATACCCCCTCAAACTTTTTAGAATCCACAAGAAATGTAGGTATAAACAGACTTCGAACTCTTTAATCCCATTCAACACTATGGCACTCGCTTCCTTTACACCTATCTACGAATATTTAACCAGTGACAAATCTAGGGCCTACTTTTGCTAATAGGTTCAACAGAGCATTATTTAAAAGCCTCTACTGCTTAACTATACTCATACATTTGCCAGTGCCCCATTTCTAAATCTTGAACTGCAATTCCTCACTTAACTACTGTGCACTACAATGCTAGTATTTAAGACACCATAACCAAGCGCTAAACCCGTTAGGGTAATACAGCGCTGTCAATGCTCATATGCACATCTTAGTTGTTCCACCCAGCCATTTTTAGGGTTCATATTTGGTTTGAGGATAGAGTTGGATCACTGGCCTGAATCCCTTGGGTAAAGCTATCAGGGCCACCCGGACTCTCATTGACAACAGACTTATTTTTTTTCTGCCAAAGTGCTAAACCCACAAGGGTCATACAGCACTGACCCAATTAAGCAGTGCACATTTAGGCAAATTCATTATAATCAAGGAAACGCTAAACCCAAAGGATTATACAGCCCCTGTGGGGGGAGTATTCAGGGAACTAGAGCAGATCCAATTCCCTTGATCATGAGCCCCTCACCAGCATCGAGGAACCTTCCTTGAGGGGTTAGGTCAATTCAGTGGTTGAGAAAAACTACAGTCTGTGCTAAAAATCATATTACGTAAAAATAGAAAGAAATAGAAGAAAATTTGTTCGCATTAGACTTGTACATTTTAAATTAGGAATGTACACCGATCAACTAAAGTAAAGAAAGTTTAAAAGTTGACCAATTTTAAAAGTTTTTCTTAGGCATATTCTCCCTCGACTTCACCTTCCTCTTCGAATTCTGCTTCATCGTCTGCGGTGGCTTCCTGGTACTGCTGGTATTCAGATACCAAATCATTCATGTTAGATTCGGCTTCTGTGAATTCCATCTCGTCCATACCTTCTCCAGTGTACCAATGAAGGAAAGCTTTTCGCCGGAACATAGCAGTGAACTGCTCACCAACACGTTTGAAAAGTTCTTGAATAGCAGTAGAGTTTCCAATGAAGGTAGAGGCCATTTTGATACCACGAGGAGGAATGTCACAAACTGCCGTCTTAACATTGTTGGGAATCCATTCTACGAAGAATGAGGAATTCTTATTCTGGATATTGTACATCTGCTCGTCAACTTCTTTCATAGACATACGACCACGGAAGATAGCAGCAACTGTCAAATAACGCCCATGTCTGGGGTCACAGGCTGCCATCATGTTCTTTGCATCAAACATCTGTTGAGTGAGTTCTGGGACTGTAAGGGCACGGTACTGTTGAGATCCACGAGCAGTGAGAGGAGCAAATCCAGGCATAAAGAAGTGAAGACGAGGGAAGGGTACCATGTTGACAGCCAGCTTTCTTAGATCAGCATTCAGCTGACCTGGAAATCTGAAGCATGTTGTCACACCAGACATTGTAAGAGAAACGAGATGGTTAAGGTCGCCGTAAGTGGGGTTCTGGAGTTTGAGTGTTCTAAAGCAGATATCGTATAGTGCCTCATTATCGATACAGTAGGTTTCATCTGTGTTCTCAACAAGCTGATGGATTGATAGGGTTGCATTGTAGGGTTCTACCACAGTATCAGATACCTGAAAATGGGAGAAAAAAAAAAAAGGTTACCAGAATATTTTAAGTTACCCATAAATGTGATACTGGCATCCTTTAAGAGAAATGCGAGGCAAATGCAACGAGAATAGTTATTCATGGTGGGCACTACACCCACTGGGAGCATCGAAGGTATTTAGGTTTGATCCAAAGGGAAGCTCCTCACCAGAACGAAGGAACCTCCGTTGACAAGTACTGCAAGAAATTTTAAAAGTATCAAGGGAAAAAACAACAATTTTAATTTGCCCTATTATATTCATATGGGAGAGTGCTAAACCCATAGGATTATAGTGCAAGGGGTTGGGGGATGGAAGGTATTCAGACAATCTGAGCACAGATCCAATTCCCTAGATCAAGAGCTGCTCACTGGTATCAAGGAACCTCCCTTGAGGGGTATATTTATAGTAGTAGTAAGCCATATCATAAGAACTAATCTGAAAAAGGTCTTGCAAAAGGCAGCTAATTAAAATACTAGCTATGGGATAACTATGCACATTATTATTATAATCAAGGGGGAAGCGCTAAACCCAGAGGATTATACAGCTATGCACATGAATAACTTCAAACTCATTATGGAAAGGCCAGATATTTAAGCTAGAGTAGAATAGTGAACAGTAAAAGCTGCCAAGTGAAACACTCAAGATATTAGAATTTGTATGACTGGCATCCATAGAGGACAGTAAATCTCCAAGCCAATACAAAGTATCCTAGTGGATCACAAATTTCATTTGCATCAATAGAGACTAAGTTTTTGGGAATTGTCGAAAGATTTTCCTAAGAACACTATCGTAGCAAAATTTAAATTAGACTGAATAACCAGAATCTTCAAAACAGATGAAAAGTCAATGATTATCCTCAGTCAATTAACTTAAATAAACGTTACTCTAAAAACCCACATGTAAAAAAAAACCCAATCTGGAAAATGTAGTTAACCTTCACGACCAATACCTAGATTGGTAACTGTCCTGACCCTTTTGGCTGTAACTTGTTATACAATACTTACAATGCTAGAGCCAAGTTTTCACGCATACACTACTTCCTATGAAAACAAGCAGCTTGGATGAAAAATGCAAGTGCTTTCTCATTAAGGTTAAAGGGTGCAGGATACTTCCCCCCCCCCCCCCCAAAAAAACAAACAGAAAAATTACCCTGGCTGTCAAGGTAATATTCAGAGGGAAGAAATCTAGTTCAAACCAAGGAATGGGAATACAAGTCCCATCCCTTGGCTTACGAGCCTCCTCACATCAAAACCTCCCTTGAAGATGGGCAAGTGTCAGTTCCTGATCAAATGGATCATGGTGCACATGGATTGGTGGCCCGGTGGCTAAACTCCCGATTAACCAAACATTACAGAGACCTAGTCCATTTCCCGAACGGATGGAAAAATTTCGGACCAACAAACACATTACACAATGTAACATGTCCTGCTCACCTATGCACAAATAGTAAACCTGGTGTTAGTCGAACTTAGTGGGGGCGCACTAAACCCTGGGGGACAGATTAAGGACCCAATGGAAATAATTAGACAAATCCTTCCCGATGACACACCTTTGAACTTTCTTTTGGTTATCCGGGTGGCTAACCCTCCGGGTTAAAAATCCGAACGAAATCTTATCTTATGCATGCAAACAGCAGCCTGGTTATTCAGATTAAACCAAATATTACTAGCAGACCTAGCCATTACAGCAATGATTAACAGCAAGGGGCCCAAATTAAAAATTTCCGTGCACCCAAAACCCCTTTCCCTATTGTCTTTAAATGCTTTTTTAAAAAGTTTAATGGAGGGAGCACTAAACCCTGTGATTTACCTTTACCTTTTTGAGTTTCACAGCACCAAGGATTGACTTCCCTAAATCAAGATCCCTCTCACCTGATTTGAGGAATCTTTAGGGAATTTAAGTTTCTAAACTTTGGTCCAATATTCATTGGAAAAATTAAATTTTTGTAAGCAATTAGTTTACATCTAAAAGACTAATAGTGGAAAACTTTTGACATGCATTCTGTGGAGAAGGGCTAAGAGGAAATTTTAATTTCTTTAAAGAGTAAAAGCAAATGTAAAGTAAATCCACAATTTTCAAAGAATAACTTTAAATAGCCACTTTACATACCTTAGGAGATGGGACAACAGAGAAAGTATTCATTATTCTGTCTGGAAATTCTTCACGAATTTTAGATACAAGAAGAGTGCCCATGCCAGATCCAGTACCACCACCAAGGGAATGTGTCAATTGGAAGCCCTGAAGACAGTCACATTTCTCGGCTTCCTTGCGGATAACATCGAGTACAGAGTCTACTAATTCAGCACCTTCAGTGTAATGACCCTTAGCCCAGTTGTTGCCTGCACCACTCTGACCTGAAATAGCAAGTGTTTCCAATGATTGCAACAAATATTTAGGGGAAGAAAATCCCATGTTAAATGGCAGTAAAAATTTAAAATTTTCAATGTTGTATTCTTACCAAAAACAAAGCTGTCTGGTTTGAAGAGTTGTCCATGAGGTCCGGCTCTAACACTGTCCATTGTACCAGGCTCCAGATCGACCAGGATGGCACGGGGAACATACTTTCCTTGGTTGCCCTCATTATAATATACATTGATTCGTTCTAACTGGAGTTCCATCAAGTCCTTATCAGTGCCAGAGTACTCTCCAGTTGGCTGGATGCCATGTTCATCACTGATAATTTCCCAGAACTGTCAAAAGAAAAATATAAAAACTTAAAATAACCAGGCTTAGTCATATTACATCACAAAACCGCCTACAAAACACAAGTTATACAGTACCAAACTACTTTAACAATGTTTAAATTATACTGTAATTTCATATGAAAATGTACTTTCATATAAATTATAATCAGAAAGCACTAAACCAGTAAGGGTCATGCCGTTCATATTAAACTAGTAATAACTACACTTCTCAAATCTGGTTCAGCGTTTCACTTAACATACTGTAAAGGGAAATAGCCCGAATGTCCTGCACAGAATACCCTACATTAAAAAAAATGCACTTTGCATGCAAGGTTTTTATGACTAGCAGTTGAACTCTGAGACTGGTTTACACTTTGCTGTTACCATTCTAAACTATCAGATTTGAAAATTTGCCACTATTTGGTGGGATAACCCACTTCTGTAAGTTCTTTTGGTCATAAAAACAAACCATACTCCAGAAAAAGCAGGCCATTTATGCACAAGGGCTTATCAAAACTTCCTCGACTGAAGAGATTACAAGAAAATCTGGGTCAATGCAAGTCTAGTTCCAAGCCCATCAACTGCATGTTTTATACATTTATCGTCTTATCTCCTACTCATGTTGGGCGACCCATCAAATACAGATGTTTGGCCATAACTTCATCCTTTCTCCAGACACGACCACCCACCTCCAGAAAGCATGGTTAACCAGTTCTTTTGAACCCTTTCATAAATGTTACCTTTCTTTCACAAACATCACACCAAATCTCTAAAACCCACTATCCTACATCACCCCAAATTAACATTTCCACACATTACTGAATGCTCAGACCCCTAACAAACCTTCACACCCTTCCCCTCCAACCTTTCCTGGGACGTAGCTTTCACCTGCCATCACCCCATTCTGTTAAATGTTGTCTTCATGCCTGTGAAAGTATCTGTCCAAAAAATTAGAGCTACCCTTCCTTTCCTTGGACGAATATTACTTTCGATTCCCAAGACACTGCACAACCCCCTATGGGCTTAGCACACCACGAAATACTCTTAAAATGCCTACACACTTTCAACAATTCCTCCACAACTAATTTCAAACAAATGCTTTGCAAAAATTTCACACAACATTGCTCTCAAAATTGGCTTCTACTTTCCCAACATCCTTTTTTAAATTAAATGCCCATGTAAAAGGAAATCAATATAAGGGTACATTCCTTTCTCCATAAGAAATTATAATCAAAACCCACAAGGGTCATACTCTCCACAGGAACTCACCTTACTACCCTCTACCATTTCCCTTTATCACTATGGTTCACTCAAAATTTCGGACCCATCTGCCAAAACATTGAATAACCCCCTCCCCCCCCCCCCCCACACACACACACAACACACACACACTTCCACTATTCCCTCCTTCCAATCCACTTTTCCACAGCCTAAACTTATTCCTCCAATTACCTTACCTGGGGAAATGGCAACTTGAGTAAAAAGAATTAGAACATTCATCCAATTCCTTAGACCGAGCTGCTCCCTTAGAGTTTTTGAAATACAATATTTGCCAGATTTTAAGAAACTGAAAGGGCCCCTCTGGTCTTATTGGGTTTACACATAGCAATATAATTGACCAATTAAGACTGCTAAAAATTACATCAGACCTTAGAATACACTTAATATTTACAGCACTCACTTATAGAACTTTAGTTTCCCTTAAAACTTTACCCAACCTTGACAAACACCCTCCCCCAAAATGAAGATATGTTCATTCAGGGTCATGACATCAGTCACCTCTTCTTGACAAGGGAAGAGGCAAGCAAATATTCCATTTAAACAGCAACTTTCGTAAATTAACCTAGGATAAGCCAAACTTAAAGCACTGGCCAATTTCCACTGAAGGCCCTTTGTTATGTAAAATACAGGCAATTATATCTTTTACCCTCAAATTACCAATCATGTTAGTATTATAGAAACAAGCTTTTAGTCAAAAAGCAAAATTGCACGAAATTTGTTATGCTTCCCGAGTGTCTGGTGTAAATTAAGTCGCCAGTCCTCATCAGATTCTTAATTTTCTATATTCTGAAGTCAAACTGAAGATGTTCTAGCTTTGTACTGTACATAGGTGTATTTACAATACATTCGGCCTGCACAGGCGTAACGTCTTGTCAAAAGATAATGACCTTCCAATGCCAACGAAATGATCTACTCGAAGCTACTACCACCGTATCCTGAGTTATATTCAACCAAAATTATTATAAACAAAAATAGCGCTAAGCCACAAGGGCTATGCAGCATATTCAACCAAAAGCCTCTTGGCAAGCAAGGCAGAAATCTCTTCAACGAAAGATGGTGTTACACAAGCGTTCTCATTTTTGTGTACCATGTTTGAAATCTGTCAGAATTTTGTACTATTACTTTAAACTACATACTAAAGGCTATCTAAGAGCTTTTTAGTTTTGAGTCGCCTTTTGGTGAAAACGTAAAGGTAAACCTTGTGCGTGGGGTAAAAGTGTCATGACAAAGGATTGCTTGCGAACAAGACCTCATTAGATCGTGCAGCAACCACCCGCTTCCACAGCAGTGGCAGTACAATGTGCAATGGTTTCAAGTATTAGTTTTGTACGTTTAATTAGTTTTACGGTACTAAGCGTACTTAATTTTTTTTTTTTAATAAATTTTGATCGGTCGTGAACTTGTCACATCCTACACGCTTTTAACAACCGGTGGGTTACTAAACTAAATTATGCCATGAATTTTGAAATTGATGGTCCAAGTTCAATGCCCTGAAGAATGATGCTGGAAACCGCTATACAAAAACACATTCACATTCTCCTTGCTCGTATGCAACTCTCATATGTAATTAGTTCTAATCCCAACCGCCTCTTCCCGGTGGAATTGAAGGGAGGGGTTGGAAAGGAGGGGGGAGGGATGAAGGCAGACAATGGCGGGTGGCGGGAGTGGCTGCTGCTGGAGCCGGCACCCAGGCCGGCCTCACTACCGTGACATCATCGCCCTGCCTCCCTTCAATTTATCAATTCCAATATGCATGTAAACTGTGGATAAAACCATCACGAATTCATTTTCCTCATGTTTCACATAGGCACAACTTGAACATTCGCTACACTAGAGAAAGCACTAAACCAGTCAAGCCGTAGTGTCTGGGGAATAGCAAGTAATTAGGGTGAATATTAGCGAGTTTAGGAAACCGACAAGTTACACAAATGTTAAGTAATCAGGTCCATTAATGGGAGGGCAAATCCATTTCTTTGGATCAAGAGTCCTTTATCAGCATCATGGAACCTATTACGGGCGTGATGTACCAGCAAGTTAAATAAAATTATAAAAAAAATACATATTATATAGTAACATGCATAGTTCATGAGTATTAAAGAGGCTCTTCTGAAATAGTATTTAGGACAAGCACCTCTTACAAAGAGTTGTTCAACGGATTTCAAGTAGTTATCTTAACTCCACCCCTCACTAAATCAGCAAACAAACCAAACCACAATTATGCGACTGAAAATATGCCTATTCTACAATATCTTTAAAGATATTACATATATATACTGTATATAGAAGCTGCACGGTGCAGCCGAGGTCGGTAGCCATTACACTGCCGCCACCGGCATCCTGCTGCACCTCACACTATCACATGATGTAAAACATCAAAAAATCTCATCCGAGCCTCGGGACTTCACAGTAACATCACTAATACGTTTCCTTACCTTAGTTCCGATCTGGTTGCCACACTGGCCGGTCTGTAGGTGCACAATTTCCCTCATGGTGTTGCGTGTGTGTGCTCGCTGAGGGTTGACAGCCGCTTCTGATGTGAGAGTCGCCGCCGCTGCACCGCCAAGCCTGCGCTCACACTTGCCACACGCCGCCACGCTACATTACTCCACTGCCTTTCAAATTTATAACACATTCTTCCGCTAATATTACCTAACATGAAATGCGAGATATATATTTATCAATGCTTAATTTATTCACAGGGAAAAGATTAATTTTAATTTAATTACAAGAGGAGCAACAGGTTTTGATTTGACGTAGCGGCGGATTTGAACATTGGAGGCGGTGGTGGGGGCTGACTGAGGGTGAACCCTCCCTCAACACCCACCTCAACCACCAACACTCCACCAACACCCACATTTTACACTGTCTTACCAATACATACCCACTATTTTACTAGCATACACACAAGACAAACACATCCAAACTTTAAACTCAGCCGGGTAGAGACAAATTTAACAAAATACAACACAGTGGCATGGCTTCCAAGAATCTAGAACAGTCTGACTTTCCCCCTGAGTAACCTTAGTTAAAGGCTGATGTACCATAACATATTTGGTGACCATCGCCCTTTTTAGGATATACAAACTGTACAACGTTAAAAGCCACTCCATTGTAAGGTATAATCGAGAAAAAAACACAAACTTCTCATTAATTTGGATTCGTATCATTGCGAATTTAGAGAACAAAGCCATTACAAGAAATTATATTAATTACATACCCCAGAGGAGGTACCTTGATGCAGGTGAGGCTCTTGATCCAAGAGCTGGGCTGAGCCTTATCTTGAATGAAACCTGAATCTCATTCCCTAGGTGCTAGACAATCCCTATGGGTTTAACACTTCCTCCGATTAAAATACATTATATTTATATTCATTATAAGTAAACTTGATCTTACTATGGCACAGCATTATTAGTAACATCAATAATTCGAATTTACAACAATGGAGGTTAAGTAGGCCCTTACAAATATCATAGAGAAACATACAGAGTTTCTTGCATTTCATTACAAATATTAAACACAGGTTTTAAAACCATAATATATTTAGGTTATCTTGGTTCAAATGTTTCCCCTAACGAACTTCTATAACCATAACTATGACTAAGAATCAACAAACAAATACGTTCTTTCTTTAAGTATTCGGTAATTGTGGCATTTGAAGACAAAAACCAAGTATGCTGACACATTTATCACCATTGTTATTTCTGTTATTTTTGGTACATATAAATATGTAATATACTTTATATTGAGACATATTTGGCAATTTTTTGAAGTACATTTGTAACGGTCTTTGTGCTTTATCTATAAAGCTCCTTCCTCCACTGATTTATACCGAGTCCTGAGAAGGCCTACAGCGATGAAATTATCGAATGTTATTCACACATATTTAAAGCAGAAAAGAAGTGTAAATGATAAGAAGTGTAAATTATATTGTTCTGGAGAGTTGATTTTTCACTGTAGGACTTGGCAAGGCTGAGCCAGCCTCCCTCCTCCACCTCCCACATGTTCTGTCTACCTTACCTTTAATTAATCTACAATTATCATTCAACCTGATTCGTCACCTTCCTCGTGTCAATATACATGTGTATACCCTGATGTTGTCATTATAATGATTAAAATAGACTTTACATGCAAATAATCCTGAGGATGAGAACAAGTTGGTAACACTGACTTGCCGCATTGACGATGACTCACCTGCTCTTGTTTTGCATTTATTTCCCGCTATCCCTAATATATATCATACTTTTAACAGGCATTACTTACTTACCTTTGCACTAACTGTCGAACACGAAAACCTCAGAGAATAAGTGAGAATGACAGTAGCAAAAAGTATATAGTGGATGCCATACGGCGTGCTCGTGGTGTTGGCAACATGGCGGGTGAGGGTTGCAGGTTATTGATTAACTCCAACAGCAGCAGCAGCAACAGCATCAACAACAGCAGCAGCAGCAGCTGCTGGAGCAGCCCAGGGAACCTGTACACTTGTAGCTGACTCACACCAATATTTTAATTCAACCAGCTTACACAATACTCAATATGGCTACATCTCTTCTAGTGACTGTATCAGCAGATGAAGCAAAAAGGTCTAACAAAAATAATACATTTAATCTCTAGTGCCCTAAGTTTATATAGGTGCAGGTACACAAGTAAAATTATCATGCATAGTGTAAATTGCCTAGGATAACCCCAAAAAGACAGTGACTTATTTCCATTGGGGTTCTTGTATTATCTTAAACCTTAAAAGTTAAAATAGCTAAGAAACTTAACTGTGAAAATCAGGATAAAAAGATATATCTACATTATTTGCATAGCTCGAATAAATAAATTATCATTAAGGTATATACATCAGACGAATGAAGAATGTGTACCTCCAGGTAGACCATCTACCTTAACACTAATATATTCTTAAAATACCCATGGCATTATTTAGATAAACAAGCCTACTTAAGATCCATGGCCAATAAGCATTTTTAATTATATTAAACGTAAAGTAAGGACCGAGTAAGCTGTAAAATTTTCGTTGAGGATGTAAACAGAAGTGATGATGGCGCATACAAAAGTTGTGAAACTAGTTAAGGATAAACTATTAAAATGTGCTGCTAGATAATGATGCTGCTGGATGTTGGTGGTGATGATGCTACTAGATGGTGGAGATGATACTAATGGATGGTGGTGGGGTGATGGTGATGCTGGATGGTGATGGTAGAGATGGTGCTGGATGGTCGGTGGTGGCGTTGGATGGCTGGTGGTGATAGTGCTGGATAGTGTCGGATGATGTAATGGTGATGATGTTGAATGGTTGGTGTAGTGCTGCATGATGATGAATGGTGGTGGTGATGCTGGATAGTGATGATTCTACATGGTGATGGTGATGATTCATGGTGGTGGTGATGATGCTACATTGTGGTGGTGGTGATGCTACATGTTGGTCGTGGTGAGGTTGAATATTGGTGATGCTGAATATGATGCTGATGGTGCAGGATGGTAGTGGGGATGCTGATGCTGTATGAAGATGGTGCAAGATTGTATTGGGGATGCTGCTGCTGTATGATGGTGATGCTGCTGCTACTGTGTACGATGGTGATGTTGCTGTATGGTCGTAGTAGTGATAGTGATGATGCTGAATGGGGTGGTGGTGATTCTGCTGTGTGGTGGTGGTGGTTGTCATGTTACAGGATAGTGAGTGACGATGATGCTGCTGGATGATGGTGGTGATGTTACTGCTGGGTAGTGTTGCTGCTGCTATATCTTATGTAATTCCCAGTTAGTGTTACACACCACAGTACTGAAAATCATCAGTACTAAGAAACACAGCATTATAAGCATTAGTTGCAGCTCGAAAACATCCTGACAACCAATGCAGGAAATGACAAATGTGACGTGGCTCTACCAGAAAATGTAAATTTTTATTTACGAATTTCAGACATCAAAGCTATCTGATGAATACAAATACTTAGGAAATTCTTACTCTATGACATTAGAGGGGGTTATAACTTAATGTTGCTTGGGATATTAAACTGCTATCACGAGCAGCTTTAATTTGTCATGGTCTTACCAAGCTGAGAGTCGTGACACTTATCTTGCGCTGCCATATGGCTTATTTTTGTTATATTAACAATTATTTTTGTTACCCTTGATTGTTCCAGTAGAATTTTATCACCATCATCTATCTCTTACGTTTCTTCAATAAACCGCTAAGTAGTGTCGTTGAAGCTAGCACTTTGAGCAGCTTTAAAAGTAGATTAGAAAAGTGTTCTTGAGTTTAGCAGTAGTATTTAGCTTTCGATAGTGTGGCAATACTGTTAACTAATCCTAGCTATATCAAACTATATGATGTACGTTTGAAGATTATTATTATTATTATTATTATTATAGTATATGGATGCCAATGGGTGGACGTGAGACAGACCTGCCTAGCATGGGCCAGTAATTCTACTGCCGAACGTTAACGACCCCAAGAGAATTAAAAAAAATTATTATAAATGTTCTATTTCAATCTGTTCTAGACCTTTATATTTATCCTAACACGCTGCTATCCTGATACTCACCATTTACACAGGAAAAACCACCATATGCTGTTCTTAATCATACCTCGTATCATTTGTAATGATACCCTCACTGAAAATTTTGCAGACTGGAATATTATCATAACAAGAAGTGCAAATACTCACGACTTTAACCTTAAGAATTTCCCACAGGACTTATAATTGAATTACATGTCTGGGAATTGAAAAAAGTAATTTTCCGAATATATTCCTATCAATAGCGTACATGGCTTTAGATTTCTGTTATATTGTTTATGAAAAATGTACTAACGTACATTAGGACGACCCAAAACAACTGCTTTAAATAGCTGCTTCACGAATATGATTTGGTTACCAAGCTTACTTTCTGTATACATTATGTAACTATTATGGAAACGTACTGCTTACCAGGAACTGTATCGATCAAATCCCAGGGACTGATAAAGCTCCTGTGGGTGATACGTTTCAGTGATAAAGCTACGTAACCCATCTTTCTTTTATACATCTGTATGTATATACCTTGACTGTACAAAGCTTACTGCAACGTTCCTCTATTATTATGTTCTTTGTAGCCATCTGAAGACCCAGTATACACTGTGCAGTAAGCAGGTCATATTGTAACAACCTACAGAGTCTATAAGAATAGAATACGTACACAGACCAGCATTAGACTAAACAAGTAGCTCACCTAAATATAAACTTTGCTGCGCTGCGGCTAGGAACTATGACACTATATATACTGTACATGTAAATTAGACATGTAAACACTAAAACTTGTTAGGAAACTTCTCCTTCACAGGGAGATTTTATCAATCGTGTTAAACATTTCTTAAACTCACATCGGAAGTGAAAACCTGAAAACATTTCGGTACCTTCTGGTCGGTTATCAACTTGTGAGTGAACGGGAGAAAGCCTGAAGTCAGGTCAAGGCAGTTATTACACTCATTGGGGAGTGCCAAACTCGCAGGGGTCATATTATAATTATAACCAAGCTCTAAACCCAAACAGGTCATACAGGTAGGGGTCTTAGTGCCTGGGGGAATAGGAGGCAATCAGGGTTCGATCCAAC